CCCAATCAGGCTTCAGGGCAGGGAGATGCAGGTGCAGCTGCGCCCAGCACCGGGCCAGGATTGGGCCCCCGGTGCCTCAATTCATGTCCCCCAATGCACCGGGTCTCAGTCTCTGTGTCTGGAGGGCAGACACCTGGGTTCTCTGGGGTGGGGTGTGGGGTGGGAGCAGGGGGTTTAGGAGTCTGGACACCTGGGTTCCCTGCGGGTGGGAGCAGGAGGTTGTGGGAGCCCTCCTCCCCCTCCCCAGCACCCAATCAGGGCTCGGGTCCCCCCACCCGGGCTACTCACGGGCCCTCCGAGTACTGGGTGCCCCCCAGGAAGCCGTATTTGTCGGTCCTGCGATAGGCCAGGCCGTTGATCTCTGAGTCGGAGCCCAGCGAGCTGGCGTCATCAGGGAACCCGTGGCTCGTGAGCGACTCCAGGGTCCCTGACATCAGGCTGACCGACTCCAGGTAGCTCAGGGTGTCCGGGGCCGGCCGGGCCCGGGGGGCTGGGATCCCGGGCCCCAGGCTGGACAGGGACCCCCCCAGGTCCTGCAGGGCTGTGGAGGCCGTGGGAGATGCCTTGTCCGGTGTCCCTGGGCTTGGGGCCACCACCTGCAATGCAGGCGGCGTCAAGGGGGCCGGGAAGGACATGGCGGGGGCTGTTGGGACCCCAAGAGCCCCCGATGACACTTCGAGGCCCGTGGCTGGCATGGGAGATGCCACTGGGTTGGCCATCACATGCTCCAAGATGGCTGCCGGGGGTGATGCCACCTTGGGTGTAGACCCTTCATTGACCCCCATCGCCATGGGAGACTCTGGGTTGGGTGTGGTGTTAGGCCGCACGGCGGCTCGAGAAGACACCGCATTGGCTGCCGAAGCCTCCAAGATGGTCATGTTGGCTGCAGCAACCTCCAAGATGGCTGCTCTCGCTTCACACTTGCCCGCCGGCATGACCAACGTAGCTGCATCGACTGCTGTCGCCTCCAGCGTGGCTGCCACTGCCTCAGGCTTGCCCACGGTCTCCTCCAGCATGACCGCTGGCGCCTCCAACCTGGCGGCGTTGACCCCTGTTGGCTCCATGAAGGCCGCTGTTGCCTCTCGCTTGCCTGCCGGCAACTCCAACACGGCCGCGTTGACCTGTGTCGTCTCCAAAGTGGCCGCCGTCACCTCACGCTTGCCCGCTGGTGCCTCCAACATGGCGTCATTGCCCGCGGTCGCCTGCAACATGTCTGCCGGTGCCTCCAAAATGGCAGCGTTGATCACTGTGACCTCCAACATAGCCACTGTTGCCCCACGCTTGCCCGCTGTTGCCTCCAACATGGCGTCCTTGCCCGCTGTCACCTCCAACATGGCGTCCTTGCCCACTGTCGCCTCCAACATGGCCGCCGTCACCTCACGC